TTCTACCAGCTCCTTCCTTTCATAAATATGAATGAATCTCGGTGTACAATCTGGAATATCAGATGGTCATTCAGCTCTGTCTTTGTTCACAATCCTGTACACACTTCCTCGGGAGTAAGTCTTATTGTAGAGGATGGGACTTGAGTATCCTGCATATTACTGGGTAGAATGCATTTTGGAAAATTCTCTCTAGTTCTTTCTTCTCTCTCTCTTTTAGAATCCCTAACAGGCTTTGGGGAATGTGCATATCTCAACAAAATTTTGTACGTTGTCTGGCCAATATTCATAATCACCAATAAGCCTCAAGAAATGTGCATATCTCGACTGCATTTTGCATATTTTCTGGGCAATATGCACATTCTTCGGTCACTATGCACAGTGACATGTCCTTGATTTCTCCAACTAGTTCAGAAGTATGTAGTATGTATCTAGGGTTCTCATACTTCAATAAGTAAAAACCTGGGGAGGTTTTTTTTTTTGGTCTTTTTTTTGAGATCGTCCAAAAGGTTGTTGAACTTTTCCCTGATCAGCAGTGGTGGACAGCGGGCTTCCGAAATCACTGTCTGGGAGGTGACAAGGAAGTGACTGTAGCACCCTGCTTGTGGTTAACGCTTAGCTGGAATGAAATATTCAACGCAGCAATAGGGAAATTAAAATAATAATTTATTTGTCAGACAAATAAATGAGAGACACAGTGGTATATGGTTACCAAAGCTCTGCCCACTCCAGCCCTGATGGCCAGCACTTATATTCCCTCAGCCCAGCTCCCTTGCTCCTCCTTTGGCTGCCTCTGTCCAATCAGCCTGGTTGAAATTCCTATTGGCTGTTTGCTAGAACCAATCATAAAAGATACACCCATTTGCTATTACCTTTTATGGGAGACAAAGAGCTATATTTCCTTCTATCCATAAATGGCAGACAAGTAGCCATATATCTTATATTTGCCTCCACCAGGCACCTTAATTACCAGATAACCTTTTTGCCCTATTGCCCTATTACCCTATTCACTCCAAAACAGATGGCTAAAACAGATGGCTCATGGTAACAGAGATCTTGGGTTCACCTTCTCACACACCATCAATGAAATAAGAATCTAACATAAGAATCTAACATTTCTTAATTTCTAAATCCTTTGCATAATTACATTTAGCCAATAAATTTCATACATTAACATACATTTAGCCAATAAATTTCATACATTAACATAGATAGATTTTTAGAAGGAAAGGAACTGTTTTTACTAAGTTCCTTTCCTTCTAAAAATCTATCTATGTTAATGTATGAAATTTATTGGCTAAATGTAATTATGCAAAGGATTTAGAAAGTAAGAAACTTAGTAAAAACAGTTTCAAAAAGAAGCCTCTTCAATTTACAACTCCCTTTCCTAGCCAGCTGCTGTTCCCATTAGCTCTTGCCCTTTAACCTTATGAAAATATGGCTCGAGTCTTCTGTTAAACAATAAATTTTACTATTTACCAACTCTTAATTAGTGTTTTTGCAGCTTGATTGTATTCTGTAATTTGTAGGGTCAATGTAACCTTTGCTCCCAGCCTGTATTTCCCTTTTACAACTTTGAGGTACTGCTATAAATCGGGGGGGGGGTGTTCAAGGAGATAAACAACTGCCAAAGTACTTAGCCAGTGGCTTTATGCCTGGCATAAAACATACAAACATTTGCAAATATATTTTTTAAGCTCATTTTAAAATACAAACCTTGATCAGATGCCTCATGACCTCTCCACTGTGCTTCTGCTGTGGAACAAACAAAATCCTGGACATTTACTTTTAAATTAAAAATCTCTCTCCCCCCCCCCCCCGGGCAGCCATGTTAGTCCCTGGTTCCCAGACATAGCCGGAATTTTCTGGCTTATATGGTGACCCTAATTGTGCCCCTATCCCCAGGCTGCTTCTGGCCCACTAACAACTTACAACATGCTCTCCCAGGGATTCACCAAACAACAGGAAGAAGGGATGGAGCTCCTCAAAAATATTGACTTTTTTTCTACAGTCCTGCCTTCCTTTCCCCACTCTCAGCTATTCTCCAGTCAGCGGGGGAATCACAGGGTGAGGAGAGTTTTAAACCTTCCCTCCCCTTCCCACATTCCTGATTAAAATTATCCTCAGTACTGCTTCTGTTCTTAGGAAAAAAGCTTAATACTAGCATGGGATCGATCACTGTGATCACAGGGGAGGGAAGAATTGACCACCTGAAGAAAGGCTATCCAAGCTGGGAAAAGGAGCCTGTATGAGATTATGTATATTGCCTGGAGAAATGTACAGAACGCAGCCGAGATACGCACATTGACTGCAGCATAGATTCCTGTTGTAAAGATTGTGCTTTGGAAGCATCATGGCAAAAAAGAGAAAAAACAACAACCTGCTAAGATATTTGAGCACTACTAATAAGGTAAGTTGAGCTAAACATCTTAAGTAATTGAAGAATTGAAACAAAAAGTATTGCTTGTTAAAATCATTTGCAATTATAATTCAAACCTCCCAAACAGCATAATGCAAATCAAAGAGAACATTTCCAAAGAAACTATTGCATTCTTGCTTTCACCCAAGGCTGTGAAATACACCCCCCCTCCCCGGTTTGGTGTATAACTGCATTTGGTAGGAAGGTAATGAAAGCAGCCTTTCAGCTGTCTCCTTACAGCAAAGTAGACACTATCTCTTGTCCGGGAGCCTGCATGTTTGCTCACTCATGATAAGTCACAGTTTGGCTTAGACTAGGTTACTAGACTTCCAGGTTTGACCTGAAGTCTCGAAGTTTGCCTGGCCCCCTCCAGGTGGCAGGTGAAGGCCTTGAATCTCCAGGTTGGCAAGAGGGCTTTTAATTAAAAACATCAAGAAAATTGTGCATACAACTTGCAAGCATCAGCCGGGCAGGAGTTGGCTGCAGATTGAAGCATAAACATTCTGGGGGTTTGCTCCCATCTCCCAATTAACCTGTATCTTAATAACATCACCAGGCGCTGCCCCTACATTTCAGATTTGGGCCCTGAAATCTCAGGGTCTCGGATGCTCCTGAGCTGGCAACACTAGCCTAGCCTTATGTGTGAGTGAGGGCTATGTATTGTTGCATGCTTACCACTTCGTGTGTTTAGACCTTTTAACCTCCCCCTTAAATAAATTCAGACAAGACTCAAATTTTGGTTTGGTTTTTGGTAGAATTTAGGCCACAACTTTACTGATTACATCAAGTGAGTGGTTGCATAGGCTCTGCTTCGACTAGCTCCCTGCACCCTTGCAGGCAGCGCTGACCCAGGGCACCAGCATAGGTCAGCCAAGGGTGAACACCTGGAACAGCGGAAAGCCGGGGTCAGGCTAGTCCACCACCCAGATGTCCCCCTGGACTCAGGCACGGGCACCAAACCACTGAGTCCCTGGATTCCTTTAACGGAATACCCTTCTCATAGGGATGGCAAGAGCATTCTCCCATCCCTATCACCTGAACCAGAGCCTATCTGCAACTTTACAAGTTGTGACGATTTGCTACGCGGCAGGCGAAACCCAAATGGCAACAACCAAGGGGGGGAAATTCCTGCCGTGCCCCTGTTGCAACAACAGATGACACATGACGGCATAGCAAGGCCAAACACAAGCCCTAAGTATAGGAAGAGGTGGGCGGGTGTTATGATGCACTGGCCCAAAGAGGAAGCTCAGGGTCACATGCATGGGCATATATAGGTCCCTTGATCCGTTTGGCTAGCGTCCCATTGACCTGATTAAACCCAGCATTGAGGGACCTACCAATAGGGTGTTGTGGGTATCCAATCGAACCCACCCACAACACATGCAGTGTGGAGGCAATGGGGGGTGGGGCCCATATCCTGTATGCAGCCATCATTTTTATGAAGGTGGTGAAACCAATAGCTGGGCAGGAGGCCTGGCCAGTACCAAAGGGAGCCAGCCTTTTCTGGGTTTCCTTTCTTGTTAAGATTACCTTTGTCTTGCGAGTTTAGATCGACTTTCCTGCTGTGGTTTGGCAGCAATGATTTCTCGAGGTATTGAAGTGTAAGACGTGCTACTTGCTTTGTTTTCCTTCCCTGGTGACACAAGCCCCAAACTGTTCCATATCATTAGCTGCTTCCTTGGTAAAGCCAAGAAAAAGGGAGTAAAGTCACTACCTCAGAAGGAGCTTATGGATGGAAAAAGTTTCATTAACATGCATTTCACATACAGCATACGCCAAATCTAACCTCTTCATACTCTGCTGTTCGTATTTCTGCTCAGTAACTAGACTGCTTCTATAGCCTTCTTAATTTATTTGCTTATTGATAGCATTTTTACACTGCACCTTAACAACAAAAATTCTGGGCAGTGTGTGTGTGTGTGTGTGTGTGTGTGTGTGTGTAACCACATCACTCCATAAAACAGCAAAGACATAAAATCAAGGATCAAATTTAAACTAGCATCAGAGTATAACCGAAACAAAACCAGCAACAAACAACACAGTGGTGCTAAAGATCATCAAAGCACTAAAATGTGCTCTTAAAATCAGAAAGGCTGGGAAAAGAAAAACAGAATCATGTTACAGGAAAAAGAAATGCCAGCTCTTCTTAGGTTCAGTTTCTTATTATGTGCAAATTACACTGTGTGCTGTCGCATTTATTGTAACATTTATGTTATTGCAATTATAGCTTGGAACGTGTAGCATCATTTACTCAAGTATGATGGGGTGGTAAGGCTAGCACTGGAGAGACCCAGGTTCAAATCTTCACTCAGTCAGGAAGCTCAGTGGGTCTTCTTGGGCCAGTGAGGGTTGTAATGAGCTTAAAATGGGGAGAGGGGGAGACCTTCATATGCCACCTTGAGTTCCTTAATGTGGACTTTAAGCGTAGTACAACCCCCCCCCCTAAATTATCAAGTGATTGATTCGCTATCATGTCTCTTCCCTTGAAACTTATTCCAGGGAGTTAAATTTGATGCTCAGTATTCACATGACACTTCTGGTGGGGGGCTAATGGGGAAATATGTCAATGACAGTCCTGCTTAGCCTGTAAGGATGATGATGATGATGATTAAAATTTCTGTACCGCTCTTCATGAGAAGATCACAGGGCAGTTTATAATATAAAAACTCAAAAATAGCCAGATGGGCTGGGTAGAAATAAATCATCATCATCATCATCATCATCATCATCATCAAATACACAACATAGTAAGAAACAAAACCAATAACTCTTTCCCCAGTTTAAAAGGCCATAGATTTTTTAATTAGCCAAAGGCCTGGTAGAAGAGGAATGCTTTTACCTGGCACCTAAAGATATGTAATGATGGCGAGCAACCATGGGGAGAACATTCCACAAGTGGGGAGCCACCACAGAAAAGGCTTGCTCTTGTGTTGCCATCCTCTGGGGATGTCTTAGAAGAGGCACACAAAGAAGGGCCTCAGATGATGATCGCAAGGTCCAAATTGGTTCATATGGGGAGAAGCGGTCCTCAAGGTATTGCAGTCCTGAGGTGTGGAGGATTTCCCCTCCTACAGTCCCTTCCCGCTTAGCCCTGAAGCCGCATCCAGAAACGCAGACTTGGGGACAGCCCTTGGCAAATGCTTACAGACAAAGACTTTAAGGTGCATGTGGATGTACGTTTCATCATGGCTTGCCAAGATTCCTATTTTTCACCCCATGTTTGGGTTCTTTCCCCAAGCTTTATTCAGACCGTTGTCTGCCACTGCTGCATCTGGCGAGGAAAAAGTCCTAAAGGGCAAGCTTTGTGCAATGGAGGGAAGTTTTGTTGTTGCTTCTTTATAGCAGGCAATAAATCCCGGATTTCTGCTAGGGATGATTGTGTGGGAGTGCTATGAGTGAAGTGCTTTGCAGCTTTGCAGCAGTCATGCCTTTGATTTGTGGCTTCTTGCCACAGCAGCTAGAGAAATGACTTAACCTTTCGATATTGTTCTCCAATGTGTAAAATTGAAATAGGGACCTTGCATATTTCTCTTGTAGCGGCAGCAGGATTAATTAGGTATTCTTTTAGTGACCAGTTAACATGCAGTAAAGTGCTAGGACAAGCCCTGTTTATAGCTCTGGAAAACTCTGCATTCAGCTGAACTAGAAGTTGATTTGTCTAGTGCTTTGATGGATTGATACTGGATGCCGCAGAGATGAGGTCAAGACTCCATGTCATGGGATGAAGATAAACTAACGGTATATCATCAGGAAACTGTGTGATGAAGATTTGATATCTGATTATGTTTCTACAAAAAAGCCAAGCACCCCACCCACAGTAAACACAGAAAGACCGTGCATATTTTAAAGATCCGGGCAATGCTACATGTCCTATTAATGCATCTTTCATCTTTTCTATTCTAGTATGTTTGGAAAGCGCTACGTGTTTCTCAGCAGCAAATTAATTTTGTTTATCTGACGTAACACACAGCAGCTTCAGAGAATAATTAAAAAGTGTCATCAATCACTTGCTCACGAAGTCTTGGAAATGAACTGGAACAGACAACAGTGATTTTTTCCTCAGATATTGCGTTCGGGCCCTTAGTTTACTAGCAGGTTCGAAATACAATCTTCCTCGTGGTTCAGCCAGGATTCTCAGGACTGACAAGTTTGATCATTAAATCCTCTGAAAGAGGAGCTATTATACATCTCAGCGTGCAAAACCCTCTTGAGTTTAGACACACCCATAGGATATTTAATACATAATGCTCTGTCCATAGTAGCTGGTGTCTAATAGGAGGTTCAGAGAATGGTGGCAAGTGGCCAGAGGGACTGGTAGGGTGGAGACCAAAAGTAGGTGGTGCCAGAGTCAATGGCAGGTGGGGCCAGAGCCAATGATAGGCCAATCCAATGAATTCTAGTTTTGTTCCCATCCTCCTTCCTGCTGAATTCTACAAGGGAAACACTGAGACCACAAGAGAAGAAAGCTGGCAAATAGTGTCACTCCCTGGTCTGGTTGTAAGTAAGCAGGCAGGCAAATGGAGGCTGGGTGAGGACAGATTGAGGTTTGTTCGGTAGTGGCTCATTTGCCCAAATGAACCAGCTTCCCATTGGTTTAGACATCTGGGCCATCACAAGGCAACAGTATTGTGGAAAACAAGCCACCAGAATACATCTTTCCTTTGGCCCAGATCAAGCAGCAGCACGTTGAGATGAAAAAATGAGGCCATGCTCCGATGGCTGCTTCCAGGCTCCATGTTCCAGGATATAGCAGGACCATGCAATTCCTCCACCCCTCGCTGCTGTGAAATCGCTGCAAGAAACCAGTTGATCAGATGGCAGGGTTTCTACTCCTCTCTCCAGAATTTCCAGCAGGTTCTTAGACGGATGGAATAACAGTGTGCACTGGAGCACTCCATTATTGAGTGAAGCTTAGAAGCTGTGAAAAAAATGCATTGGGTTGCCTATATAAGAGCCACCGGCATGCGGCTTTCAGTTACATTATCTGTGCCTCTCCAGTGAAGACAGAATGTGAAACAGGCACCAAGAACCAAGTTGTATGTTCAGAAGAAGCATGTGGCATGTCCCTGTTGGGACTGTAATATTACTGCAACTTAACCTGAAAGAAAGATGCAGATGTTTTCAAAGCACGTTGCAAGCTTGATCCAGCTGTATTCCTTACAACAACCCTGTAAGTAAATCATTGCTATTGTCCCCCATATTGCACATGGGGAAACTGAGAAAGAGAAAGTGACTTACCTAACGCAAGCTAGAAAGTTCATGGTACTCATTGATAGTTCAGTCCCTTGGCCACAATGCTACATTAGTTCTCTGGATCTTCTCAGACTGCTGATGGAAGGATCTTGTGCTTCCCAATATTTGAAATATCCATGCACATTGGGCAACATCCAACATTGCACGAACAGAATTATGCTTCCATGGTGGGACTTCCCCTTCTTATCCTTCCCCCTCTGCAAACTCAAATCTACTCCAGAGCTTATGCAGAGGAGAAGGAGAGAAGTCTTGTTGCACAAATAGAAGTCCATTCCATTAACAGATGGACACCTCTGGATTTTACCCATAGAGGACTGGCACATGCATGAGGCTGCTTTTGCTGTATTCAATAGAGGTGATTATGCATATACATGGTGCTTTCTCTTGGCAACAGTGGAATGCTCCATATCTTACGGACTGGACTGCAGCCATTATGATGCAAAAATGCTTATCCATGAGAACCACGGTATATACTTCTTTAAGAGAAGAAAAGATCCATTCTTTAGTCATAATCGCTTAATGTGAATAACTACACAATCAACAATCCTTTAATTATTTTGCAGCATGTAAAGTAATACAGGTAAAGGGTAGAGGGACCCCTGACCATTAGGTCCAGTCGCGGATGACTCTGGGGTTGCGGCGCTCATCTCACTTTATTGGCCGAGGGAGCCGGCGTACAGCTTCCGGGTCATGTGGCCAGCATGACTAAGCCGCTTCTGGCGAACCAGAGCAGCGCACGGAAATGCCGTTTACCTTCCCGCCAGAGCGGTACCTATTTATCTACTTGCACTTTGACGTGCTTTCGAACTGCTAGGTGGGCAGGAGCTGGTACTGAGCAACGGGAGCTCACCCCGTCGCAGGGATTCAAACCACCGACCTTCTGATCAGCAAGCCCAAGAGGCTCTGTGGTTTAACCCACAGTGCCACCCACGTCCCCCGTAAACTAATATAAGTAAACCTTACAAGTTGGTTCTGGCTTCAATAATACAGAGAATTTTCCAAGCAAGCATGCATACACTCATCACCCGCCATAAAATGCAGCGTTGGAGAAATTGTAGAGGGGTTCAATTAAGGAAACACATTGGCTTGACGCTGGCTGTATCGAGCAAGTCCAACATCTTTCCAGCATTAAAGGGGAAAAGGTCAAAAAGTAGATAGGAAAATGCAGTGGTAACCAAACAAAGAATGGCAGGGGGGAGTGGGGAGAGGTTGGCACCGGCTATTGTTGAATCTCTATGCTAATTTTGAAACTGAATCACAAATTGGAAAAAAGCCCTTGCCGCTGATAAATTCCAAGGGGAAAGGCTTGTCAGAACATATTTCGGAGTTGCCCACTAAAATCACACATTAAAGCCAAAGCATCTTTAGAGGTGACAAGGTTAGCCTGATGTGAGATAAAACGATGTCCTGATCAAAAAGGAGAAATCTACTCCTTACTTTATTTTCAGAAAACATGTGCCTATTTGCGCATGTGCTCTGAAGGCACATTTAAGGATGTCACAATAAGAACCTGCCTTATATTAAGGTAGCCTCCAGATTGCCAGTATTTTGCAGGAGAGATTCATTGATGCACCATAATTTTAGGTTGGTGTAACCAAAGCAGATTAAAGCACTCTTTTAAAAAGTGGTTAGGAAAGTGATGAGGAATGGACTAAAAAAGTGTGGAATAACCATGGATTAGCGAGAAGGTGTCTAACATATGCACAAACAAATAAGGATGAATGCTCATTGTCATATAAGCTCTCTGGTTTCTATATGTACATTGACACAATTTTCAATATTGCTCTCCACTACTTTGCTTTACTCACACCAGAAAATAGTTTTAGTTTTTAGTTATCTTCCAGTCCTCTAGGAAGGAGTTTGGCTTTGGTGCCAGGCTGCTTATATTTTTTAGACAATCTGACTTGCTTTCCTTAGGAATTCTGAGACTGATGGCATCCAGATGTGGCCATTTGTTAATTTGTTAATAAGTTTGAGCATGTCCTCTCTTGCCAACTCTGTTTAATTTCCTTTTCACTTTACTTCCACTCCGGAAAAGAAAAGAAAAATCAAGTCCTGGCTATGTAATACATACTTTCTCAGCCTTGATTTCCCAGATGTTGTTGGACTACAACTCCCATCATCCCTAGCTAGCACAACCAGTGGTCAGGGATAATGGGAATTGTAGTTCAACAGCATCTGGGGACCCAAGGCTGAGAAAGGCTGAGCTAACATCTTTTGTAGAGAAGGCAGGTGTTCATGGTCAGTTCTGGCACCCCGTTTCCTAGTAAAATAACACCGGCAGCTTCCAACAAGATATGAAAACACAGTAAGAGATCAAACATTAAAAACTTCCCTATACAGGGCTAGTAATTCTTATCAGGTTGCAGCCAACTAAGGTTTACTCAGAGTAGACCCATTGAACTTAATGAACCAATGGTAGTCCTATCCATTCATTTCAACGGATCTAATACGAACAGGACTAACATTGAATACAGCCCAAAG